TGGCATCAACAGTGTCATTTTACAAATGCCCTCCTGTAGCCCTCCCCTTGGTTTGGTGAGTGTGGTTTGGGTGGCATTTCATTCCTTGCAGGACTGGAAAGCCAGGATATCTTAGCAAAGCCTCAGCAATGGGGAACAATAAAGTGGAGTTAGCTGGAGTGACCCTCCTTCCAAATGGAAGGCATCCAGAACAGTGAGCTGGCTGCTAGCCACAGGGACCTTGTTTTTAAAGGAGGTGGAACAGTCTATCTTGCCAGGGGTTTGGAGAAGCTTGGTATGGTCCGCTGCCACAGGGGACGGGATATTCACTGGTGTCCTCCTCACCCACATGGTCATTGTGTCAGAAATAGGACAGGAGGAGGGAGCCGGGAGAAAGAGAGATCATCCACTAGTGAAGAAACAAAAATATATCAAAGATTATCAAGGGAAACAGGCTAGATCATAGCAGGAACTCATCATGAGAAACAGAGCAGTGATGGAAAGAAGAAATGTGCAGAAGCAGCGGTAAGGATTTATATTTTCTGCAGCTAGAAAAAGTGAGTCTGAGCTAGAAGTGCTCAAGGCACTGGAAGAACTGGGGATAGCACCCTGAAAAGCTGACACCTGTGCTAATGCTGGGAGCATTACTCCCTTAGGACACTGATGAATTTTTATGGTGCAATGACAAAAACTAATGGGATTAATATGTGATTACCCCAGGCTTGGTTGCAAGGGTTCATTAGATTGAAAAATATCTGATGAAACTATACTTCCTAAAACTGACCCAAAAGATCACTGATCTGTAGTAGCATTAACCATTGACAAAAAATATAAGCAAGAGTTTGGTTAATGTGTTTTAAGTTTAATAATGTAAATGGTAATAGAAAATTACCTCTAGCATTGACTGCTTTCAGTGTTGCGATGGAAAAGAATTTACAATGCTGGAAATGCAATTAATGAAGGTGGGTGAAATCAAGAGACGTGAAAGACTGTGCATGGTAAGGAAAAGTGAGCAGGGGACTGATTGTCTTCTAATGCAAGCTGTAGGAGCATGAAATAGGATGAGCTGATGGTATACTCAGAGTAGGCAAAGGAGATACTTCTTTGAGTGCTGATCCATGGAACTCACTGCTGCAGGGTTCTGTGAAGGATGAATGCTTGTGTTTGAAAACAGAACTGGAGAAATTAATGTAAGAAAAATCATTGAGGGGTGTTAAATGCAAAGACCACATATCTAGCTCAGGTAGTCTTTGATCCTTAAATTGCTAGGAGACTTAATTGTACCTCCTTGCCATGTTTTTACATTCTCCTCTGATCATCTGCTACTGGCCATGTTAGCAGAGGGGGCACTGGTCTAAATGGGTCTGTGATCTGAAACAACACAGATGCATGTGCTGCCAAGAGATGGTTGCAGTAGGCATGTGACTCATTGCATTTATGAAGGGATCTGTGAAGCACTGAAATCTCTAGCAAATCTGTGATGAGTCAGTGGTAGCTGTTGTCTTCTCAGTTTTTCTTGCAAAAAATGCTTTGAGCCTCTGGCCAGTTCAGATCTTTCCTGTGACTTCACTCCTACTTCATACTTGGATGCTGCTACTCTCAGAGCTGACTTTTCTAGCCTTGCCCAAGACCTGTTGAAGGCCTTAAATTTGGGGGAGAAAAATGTGTTTAGAGAACTCTACATTGATTAGTAAAGAAACCTTCTTCCCTCCCCAGCTGATCAGAGAAAATAGAGTATTTTCCTAGTATTTCCTGTGAAGCTTTTCTGTAAGAGGAAATATCAGGTTGGCCTCTGCTTCTCCCAATGCTCTGTGTAGTTACCATGAAGACAATTCTCTCAGCCTTTTTTTTTAATTCCAGTGTGAATGAACACTAGTAAGCAAAATAAGGAAAGCCTCAAAACACCTAGACAAAGGAGAACTCCCAGGAAGGCAGCTTCCATGTTAGAAATAAGGGACCAAGGAACTAACAATCCTTGAATGGTGTGTGAAGAGTGAGGCCTAGGCTCTCTGTAGTCCTCTGGCTACCCTTACTAATCTCTTAACACCATCAACTCCACTTTTCAGAACCCCAAAACTACTGCCTTTTGTGAAGCCACAGATCAACTATATCATATATATATATTATATATATATATATATGTATATATACACATATAGCATCCCTGTGCTATATTTAACCTGAAGTACAGTCCATTTTAAAGTCCTACTGTGGTGGCCAAATCTAAACCTTCTGTGAGTAGATACAACATTCAGAGGACCTATGCACACAATGTAGGTGGGCTGCGAGCTGCCTATGTGAACTTAGAAGGGGATTTTATTGGTTCAAAGACTGTGCCTGTTACAGTCAGAGTGCTGGTGACTGGGCTAGGGGTAGCTCTTGTAAGTGTAAGCTCTCATTGTGCTTCACCTCCCTCTCCAGCTTTGTGATCATCTTGGTTTTTTTTATCATTCAAGCTCATTTCTAGCCCATGGACTTTCTTACTAGCCACCAATAATTCAGCTACCCCCTTCTTCTGAGGGCAGGCCAAGAGGACTTTTGATTGCCTCGTTTAGATGCATCATCCCAGTGCAGTGCCATTGCCCAGAAAGACCTTAGCAGCATTGGCTGAGGCATGTGGAGATGGAGGTGCTTAAACAGTGTGATGCTGTCTGTATTCAATAGAATCAGAGGTGGAATAAAACCCTGGGTCCTTGTTTCTCACATCTCTGCCCCAACTCCCACAGCACATTTTCTTCTGCTTTCTCAAGCAGCTATGAGCTTTCCCTCTTGCACCACTTGACCACCAGATCAATGTAAATGCCATGACTTCAGCACTGTGCAGCTGCTGTTACGCTTGCAGTATTCATGATGTCATTGCTGGATTTAAGCCAGTGGTCTATTTTATAATGAGAGGTTTTGTTTTTCACTGGAACAACTTCAAGACTTTTTCCTTGCTAGCTCCTGATTATTCCTTGTACCCGTGAAGTGTAGAATGTTGGAAGAAAATAGGTGAGTGGAAGAGACTGGTCCATGGCAGAGACTGACAGCAGTGCCTGTCTTAACAAGTCCTCAGCAAAGCTCATCTCACAAAAACTCAGAAGCTTTCTGGGAAGTGTTTTTTATATGGGAAAACACCAAATGAGCATTTCTAAGTGAGAGGACTGGTGCTCTCCTACCCTTCTGCAGCTTGCACAGATCACACCTTCCCCCACACTGGCCCCTTCTATGAGGCTATCTGCATCCCAAGGGACAGAACAGAGCACCTCCTAAACACAATAAACATTACTCTGTCTGGGTTAGTTTTTACATTTCTGTGTTTTATTTCTTATTTTGATTGAAATGACCTGTACCACAGGAATACAATTTATTTAACAGGTTTTTCTTTTTTTTTTTTTTTAATTTTATTTTATTTTATTTATTTTATTTTTTTTTAGGAGCAGATAATAGTTAAGTAGATACTGTTTATTTCAGTCTATGACTCCCTGCATCATTCTCACAGCCTCTGTCTCTCTCCGACTTCTCCACGTAACCCAGCCACAAGAACAACAGAGTGACCTCTGGCCATATGATTGACTATAGCTTGTGGATACAAAGTGGAAGCTCTTTTTTCTTAGCTCTGATTGGTAATATAAGCTCAACAAGTTACATTCTAGGGTCTTTCTCAATGACTTTCCCCTCTAATAGCTGCTTACATGTTTCTGGTGCAGCGTGTTTTATTTTATATACTTATAATAGTTTAAAAAAAAAGATGACAGAGCTTATGAAAACAATGCCCCCTTAGCATGAGCAATACTGCAAGGTCCTGATTGTTATGGGGGCATTTCTTGTAGCTTCACAGTTTTGCTGCGAGGTGTAATGCCCAAGTTTCCTCAGAAACCAAAATTCCGTGTCATAATTTACCTTTTATTTTAATTGATCCCCATGAAATTTGTTTTGCATTACAGGCCAGACACTGGTGTTCCCAGAGAAGAATGTGCCTAAAACAGAAGAGCTGGTCACTTGGGAAGAACTGCCTTTTGTAGTAGCTGACAGGTATGTCGTTTCTGTTATCCACATATGCAAATCAGGGGCTGGAGTTGCTTTTACTGTAGTTGCTGGTGTGCGCTTCATATTATTAACTGTCACTGATACACTTACCTCTACTGCTTTGCTTTTCTTTAAGTCATAGAGCCCATTTGTGTCCCAGCGGCTCAAGCTCCATCATTTTTTGATCCGTGAAGAAGGAAAGGTGTATGGACCTGACTCTGTGACTCCTATATTACAAGTGAGCAGCATAAGAGCATTGACCCAAACCCCACTTCCTAGTTCATGTCTCACCTTCCACATCTCCAGACCTTTTCATAAGAGACTGTGAGCATTCAAAGACCTAAGCAGTTGCTGAAGATTCATTTCCTCCTTCAAAGCGCACTGAGAGGACTACACTAAGATGTTACCATCCTGGAAATGCTCCTCCTCAGCGGCCGTGTGATAATACCAGTGATGAAGATCAGAGTAACTGGGAACAGGTGTATGTGATTCCTGCACTTGCCTGAAGGGCCCAAGAGACCTGACCTGGTTCCAAATTTAGGATGGTACAAGCCTTTTAAGGGTTAAATCTAGACAGGTGTTTCTGGTCCAGTTCCTGGGGAGAGTTGGCATTCCTTGTTTAAAGAGATTAATATACGCTAAGTACTGTCTGGTTCAGTTCCCATCCTATTTCAGAAGCAATTCAAACATTTCCCCGCATATTATCTTCAAGCAATGGAGGATATTCAGATGGGCTCCAAGGTTATGCAGCTTTAATGGAGAAAGAAGTTCCTGGAAAAAAATGCATTTGGTATCTTTATATTGCTCTGTCAAGGCAGGAGTTTCCTCCATACCATAGCCCTACTCTAAATAGCCAGCAGTTTCTGTGAGCTAGAAGTTAACTCAGCAGCTTTCCATAATTGTGTTTTGTAAATAGTTCTGGCTCTCTGTTCTGGAAAGCAGCCTGAGTCCAAATACAACAAAGACAGAAGAGCCTTTTGGGGTTTTTTTGGGTGGGTGTTTGTGGTGGGGTCTTTTTGGTTGTTTTCTTTTTTTTTTTGTGTAAGTGACCTTTCCAGCAGGGCCTGACAGAGTAAGAATTGCTTCTTAGGATCTTTTCAGCCCATTTTGGGACAGCTACCTTTGTACAGCAAGTTGGGACACAATGTGCTGTGGCCGAGCTGGGTCATATTCAGCAAGATTGCAACAGTGGTCAAGTGAGTCAAACTTACAGGCAATAAAGCAACATAACACACCTGCAAAAGCACTCCTTCAGGAGTGGCCACAGCCAGGAAGAGTTACCAGAGTGCAGCACATGGCAAGCTGACTCTATAGTAGTGGCATGCATTTTACTTTGGTCCCTCAGTCACAGATGGGTACAGGGATCATGAGTGCAACCAAAAGCCTCTGATTTTCTCGCCAGCTGCCTCTGGGAGGGAGCTGGGGAGAGAAGCATGAGTATCTGCTCAAAGCACAAGACCACTGTGTAATTGCTACTGCTGTTGGAGTTCCAGTTCCCATGTGCCTTCTGCCCTTTAGGTCTCTGTTGGTTTACTAATATGCTTGAAGTAAGACTGAATTCCATTATCAATGAAGTACAAAATGAGTGAGAGTAGCTACAACTGTGTAGCGTAGGAAGAACTCAAATGAGATGAACTGAACTAACTGAAGTACAAGGTGAGGGCTGGCTACAAGATCTGAGAGGTCACCATCAGTCAGCACCCATAGCTCAGTCTGCTGGGCAGGGTTCTGCAGCACTGACAGCCCTGCTGTGACACATTCTGCTCCAGCAGAAAACAAGCTCCCAGCGCCTCTCTGATCACACACTGCAACCCTGGTTTGGAAGACTTCCTGCTGGGGGCAAGTTACTCCTCTGCCACACCACCTGTCTCCTGGGGAAGCCAGGAAGGGATGGAAGCTTGAGGAGAACAGAGGTAATAGAGTCAGTGGTGTCTCAAATGTACATCAGAGGCTTTTCCTCACCTCTACTGCCTTGCTGCTGACCACAAAAGAGACAGGACACTCAGGTTGTGTCAGCTCAGGCTAGCTTAAAACTAAGTGACCTAGAAAATAAAGTCTCAAAGAATGCCAGCAGTCAGTTTTGTCAGTCACCTACATTTCCCTCTGGCTACTGAGAATGCAGCAGGTATGGCTTAGGCAGCAGAGCTGATAAACCAGGCCTTGGAGATAGCAGAAACCTGGGTATGTAAGAGTAGTAAATAAACATTACTCCAGTTCTTCTTCTACGAACCCAAGGTCAGGTATTTGCTTTCTGATCAGGAAGAGAGCCTCTTACAGCCCCAGGTATAATATATGTTTGCTCTTTTCCTGCTGTTGAGGATAATGGGATGAGGCAGGGGAAGACAGTAGTTGGAGTATCGGGAATCTTATGCCACCGTCTAATTTATTTCCCTAGGCTGTCACCAAAAAAGTAATCTCTCAGGCTCTGGAGCTGCCTCCTCTGAAAAGCAGTGCCCTTGATTCCTAACTAGAATTTGGCGTTAAGCCTAAGTCTCTGTGGAGGCAAAGAGCTATCATTTAGTGAAGTCTAGGAAAGATCTGGTTTGGGGTGTATTGATACTTGGGCAGTAACCATGCAGACAAACCTTGTGTTCTCTGCCACAAGGAACAAGTGGGGAATGGTACTCAGCTGAGCTGAAGAGGCAGGTTTGATACACTACAGGGTGAAAAGTGTGGAAGAATTGTAGTTAGCACCACATAGGAGAGGATGCAGAGATTATCAAGTCGACCCAGCACATCAGGCTCTTTTCTCTCACCATTTGGGAAAGACTTGCATTTTCTCAGGGACATACATCCTACCTCTTCAGGGGCCTGCAGGAATTGTACATGGGATGGACTAGCCAGGCGTAATGACACACTGTACAAGGTCGCAGAATATCTTACACAGTTAGGAGCATCTTTCCCAGTAAGAAGTGGGGCCTGTATGTACAAGTGTTAGAGGAGCCTGGGAGGCAGCCTTTTTGTTCAGGAGAGGTCCAGCAGTGCTCTTCTCCAAAGGAGCATCTGCTCTATGGTTAGAGGCAGAAAGGTGACAAAAAGAAGGACCACGGCTGCTTCCCTTTCTAACTGACCCCTCATAACACGAGCAGATAAAGTTTATATTGACTGTTCTTCCTCTCTTCCTGCTTTTGTCCCCACTCCCCCTCCAGCACTGTCAGAGGGAGCTGGGGAGCAGGCAGCCTGGACAGCGCTGAGAGCATCGCTGATCAGAGGGGCTGAGCCCCGATGACTGCCTCAACAAGTGCAAGAGCATATTCTGGTATTTCCCACAGAGAAAACAACGAAAAAAAGAGAAACAGGTGACTGATTAAAAGTTTCCCCCCTTCTGTACACAAGATTCTGCAGTCACGCCGACAGATAGACATTAAATAATTCTTCCGTAATAAATGACTGGAGATAAAAGCCGGCGGTGGCTGCTGCTGCTGTTTGGATTACTCCGTTGTCTGCATCTTTGTTTCTAGTTTGTTCCCCGGCCACTGTCGGCTGGCGCTGGGGCTGTCAGACCTTTGCCTCTAGCATTTCTAGGAAGAGTTTATGCATGGGAACCTTGCCCTGCAGTTTAATGCTGTAGAAGTGCTGCACAGCTTTGGCAGCCGTCTGCCGCAGGAGGGGCAAGGTCAAGAGCAGCTTGCCTGCTCGCCGGGGCTCCTCATTGCGCTGACTCAGCTCGTAGTCCTGCAGGGCTTCGTGGAGAAGGTCCTGGAGTTTCTGCACTGCATCCATGTCCTCTATGTGCATGGAGTCTGGGGGAAGGGAGAAAAGACAGCAAACAGACAAGTCAGACATGAGGAAGGAAATCCTTTATGGTTCTGAAGTTAAGGATATTTTCTTTCCTTCTTTTCTGTAGTTGTTGGTTGTTTTGGTTTTGTCATTCCCCCATGCCCCCACCCCCCCGGGAGTGGGGGTGGGAGTGTTGTTGCTGGTTTGGTTTGTTTCTTAAGGGGAAAAAAACACCTTGCTGGCAGGTGTTGGTGCTGCTGCTATGAAGTTTGGCAGCAGCCCAGTGTGTTGGCCCTAGCAGTGCAGAGACAGTAAGGTTACCAGGGGTAGGTGACACATGTGCCCTGTGTGCTGCTCATTTTGCCAGCCACCACAAGGCTGTGCAGGGGTCGGCCAGGAGCCTTTGTGATTTGCACATTTACTTGCCCTCCATGCTCCTTATGGTGAGAGTCACCCTGCAAGGGGCAGCAGCTGCTGTGCTGCCGCTTGGGAGCAATCTCATTAAGAATAATTAACACTGCTATAGCGCTTCATCTGTCTAAACTGCCTAATTGCCTTGCAGCTGCTCAGGGTGTCAGCAAGACAGAAAAGCCCCAGTAGGTCACAACCAGCGTGCCCAGGGGTGTTGCCAGACCCATCTTTGTACATATGCCCCTGTTTTCAGAGACTGCCAGCAGCTGCTCAGGGAGCTTCCTGCTTAAATAAAGGAAACCCACACCTCCTCTTCCCTTAGGCTGCCAGTTAGATTCCTAAAAGCTGTCAGAGGGGTAGCAGGGTTTGCGAGGCTAGACAGTTCCTTGGTGTGTCTATGAAGCTGGTAATGACTGAGTCCAGGGTCGAGCTAGGAAATAGTGTGGAACAGGCTGCTAAACTTGTGGGTAAGTCATAATGCCAGAGAGCAGCACCAAAGAGCAGAGAGGTTTGATTAGAAAAGCTAACCAGGCACAGCATCACTGAAGGTTTGCTCTTTTTTTCCTCTTGCTTCTTTCTTAAAACCCTGAAAAGAGCTGGAGACACCGCTGCCATGTCTTCATTATTCAGAGACTTTTAATCGATACTGAACCCATTGATAAAGATTCTTGCCACAGGGCAGTGAATCCAGAAGCAACAGCAAAGGGACACTTTGGCAAGCACACATGCACACCTGTAGTTGCACTGCCTGCCACCACAGCCTGGGCTTTGCAGTGTGGCAGTGCTCTGGCTCAGCCCACTCACAAACACAAATGTGAGGACATGGGTTCCCCAGTGTGACAGCAATGAAGGGGAGGAAAGCCATCTGAACTGCCAAAATCTCTGTAGAAACATGTGTCATCTCTATGGAGAATACAGTCACAAATTAGAGACTGTGAATTTCATGAGATACATTTAATTTAAAAATATTTATGATGCATGATTTATAAAGTATTACAACAGTTGGGAAAATATTATGTCTAGCAAGAAAGCTGTTTAAGAAGCTGTTTAGAAGGAATTCACTAATTAGAGGATATTAAAGGCTTGTATTCCCAAGAAGCCTACTGAGGAAGAATTGTTCTTGCTACATTTACACTTTGTACCCAAAAGACCAGGCAAAGGAACTCAGAGAAGGGCTGGTAGGGCACCACAGTGACCTGAGCTAGACACAGAGGTCAATTCTGAAAAGTAGGGAGGGAGAAGGATGTTGCCAAGTCAGTCTGGCAACTTCTCCCAGCCAGGCAGCACATTTGAAAAATTTCCATGCACAATCCAGGAGAAGTGAGTAGGATCTGTTTCCCACTCATTCGCAGAGGTCATTTTGGAGACTGGAAGTATCAAAAGTTGAAACTTGGAGGGAAACGTCCTCCAGCCTTTCTCTTCAATGTCCTTCTGGCTAGAGGCACAAGGGGGAGAAGTAAACACAGCCTGTCAGAGTTTGCAGATCCCAGCAGGTACTAGAAGTACCAGGCAATGAGCCATGCTGCAGGTCAAAGTGGGTGCTCTGGTTTTGGGTACTGATATTGACAAGACTTAACAGCACTGAATAACTACATGTATATAGCAAGAGGAACTTGGGAAATAAAGATCAAAGCCTGCCCCACCACCACCTCTCTCTGCTGAAAGCTTAAAATTGGTAGCTGACTGCAAAAAATAAAACAACATTGCAGGATTAACTTCCTTGCAATCCATCAGTGAACCGGTATCGATGGCATTGATAAACTGTTAATTACAAAATCAATAGCTATGAATTTTTACAGCTGTCAGAGCACTGAGATGGGGGCAGGCTGCCTGACCGTGTCCCTGAGGGTCAGCTGGCCTAGAAGCCAGGCTTCATGCTGGGAACCCTTCTCCAGCACTACTGGGATGGGGTACAGGGCAGGTGTGAGAACGGACAAAGCCCACTGCCTCCTCAATTAACTCATGCATTTTCTGGTAGGAGCAGGAACCTCACAGGACCCACTGGTACAGAATTTGCTACACGTCCCCTTGCCAGATCCTGATCTTGTTCACTCCATCTCAGCATTAAAATGCATTGGAGAAAAAAAAAAGAGGAAATAAAGTTTGGACAATCTGGCATGTCCTAAAATGAATGTGTGCTGTATGGTAAGCTGGAGAGCTCTTCAATACATAGGTTGATCGATTTTTATCCTAAGGAAAGAGGACCTAGGAATGCTTAAAAAAAGACTGCTGGCTCTGAAGGGTAACGACTTAAGTCTTAGCACTTCTACTCTGTTAAAAAATGGGTGATCATATTGTTGGGACTTGCCTGCTGCTCTGGGCATTAAGAATTCATTGCTCAGCTCTCTAAAATGCACTTACTAAAGACAAAGTTCCCTTGAATTATCTTTGCCAGTCCCAGCAGGTGTGTCCTTGGTGTGTCACACTGCATACTCAGATCAGCCCATTGTCAGCTTCTTCTCTGGTGAAGAGCAATTGAGCTCCCACTTCTGTTTTCATTTGTTTGAATTCCTAGAAACAAAGGGTCAATATACACAGGGCTGCGTGGAAGAGAGGAAAGTCCCTTGAACCTGGGTTGCATGAGCAATTATACCCAGCAGGGATAAGGAAAATTCAAGAATTTATCTATAGGGGAGGGAAGGCAGAAAGCAGGTTTAGACAGCACAGGTGCTAATCTAAGTGCTCATCTTTAAACCCTATTTCTGACTCAAGAGAGCTGAAGCCTGGTCCAGGCTGCTTCCCTACCGTTTTAGCAATCAGCTGTTTGCACACAGGCACATACTTGCAGAGGTTTATTCATGTCAAAAATACACAACGAAAAAGAACTAGTATTAAAAGAATGTGAAGGTTGAATGTTAAGTTACAGTAGAAAAATACACTTGCCCTATTCTAGCTTCCTTATGCATGTGTTGCGAGAAGTTTTAATTACATGAAAAACAAAATCTCATGCTTTACTTTCATATCTTTCAATACAAATAACAAAGCAATATTTTTGTGGATTATGCTCCTACATAGCTGCACTTCTAGCTGCAGTAGGAGAAACCAGTGAAGTCAGAGGGGATTTTTCCATCCAGCTGAGAACATGCTTTGGCCTGTACTTCCTGATCCTTACCTTGGTTTGTTTACTCCACACCACTGGAATCAGAACCTCAAAGCATCTGATGAGTGTTAGTTGTTCTGCTCTGTCTTTGTTCAGTGTCTCTCCATTCCTGATAGATACTGTCTCATAAGGCTTACTCTGGGCTTAGTCCTGAAAACACAGTGAGCAACAACAGCAGAGAGTGCTTCTGTTGCACTGTGAAGAACTTGACAGCACCGAGGCTCAGATCCTGCAGTGTCTCTGCTCATAGCATGGGCCAGATAAATGTGGGGCACTTATTCTGTCACAACCACTACCTTAGCAATTCAGCCTCTCTGAGGAGCCCTTCTTCCTGTTTAATCCCATGACCTTCCTGGTAGACAGGTTCTTTAACAAGTTGATTACATCACCAAAAGCCACCGTTCCACAGTTGAGAGATGCCAGCCTTGGCCATCTGCCCATCCTGGTTCAGTGGCAAAGTGAAGGCAGCAATTAGAGCTAAAAAAGCAATATATGAGAAATTGAAAAAGGGAGCTAGATAGCAATTTATATGAATCAGAAGTTATGAAGTGTAGAAAATCGATAAGGGAAGTGAAGGACATAGGAGGAAAAGCCATGGCTGGAAGGGCTAAGGACAATAAAGAAGTTTTATAAATATTTAAGAAATAGAAGAAAAATGATCATTTGTAGGGCGTATCTTTTCACCTGGAGATGATTAAACTATTAACAGCAGTGCAGCAAAGACAGAAGTCCTCAATTAGTATTTCTGTCTTGTTTAGAAAAGAGAAGCATTACGTACTTGTGTTACATGATGATGATTTCTTAGTCTGTTGTTTATGCAACAACATATTAGAACTATTAGGGCAAACTTCACAGAAATAGGAGAGCTGGATATCTTGGCTTTAACAGTTCTAAAATTGCTGGCTGAGGGCCATCTAGGGCAGAGGAATGATGAAAAGTCCTGGTATTTTTAAGAAATTCAAGATGACCGAAAAATTTCTAATAACGCACATATTTTCCTAGGTTTTATCTGATAATTTCTATGCTAGCCTGATGTGAACCAAGGCAAAAATAAAGGAAAAAATAAAGGTGACAATCAGTTAAGACTGATGACATTTATGAAAGGTGTGCAGATGTGGCACTTAGGGACATGGTTTGTGGTGGGTTAACAGTTGAACTTAGTGATCTTAAAGGTCTTTTCCAACCTAAATGATTCTGTGATTCTACTGCCAGTCAACATGATACTTTGGAAGAGAGGTCTTGTCAAATAAACTTGATTTCATTCTCTGATGAGATTACAAGTTTGGTTGATAAAGTTAACTGCACAGATATACTAGACTTGGGACTTTATAAGGCCCTTGGCTTAGGACCACAGGACATTGTCATTTAAAAATTAGCACTATACAATATCAATAAAGAACACTTTCAATTGATTAGTAACTGGCTAGATGACAGATCTCAAAGTAGCTGTCAGTGGTGAATCAACCCTGCAGGAGGAGTTTTCTAGTGAAAATCCAGGGGATCAGTAAAAAAACCAGATGCTACTCAATGTTTTTATCAATGAGCTGTAAGAAATTTATTTCTTTTCTTTTTTCTTTTACCTTGCTACTGCTATGAATTGTGTGGATGGCAAAGATGAACAGAATGGTGTAAAATGGTGGGGTAGGGCAGCCTCACAGCATCCTGGACCTTACACTTGAAGTAATATATCCATAGTCAAGGAATGCAACTAAGGAACAGGAACTTTATCGTGGCAAGCTGTTAGGTATAAAAAGACCTGGACTCATAGGACACAGCTCAACAAAGACTCATCTCTGGAGGCTGAACTCAGGCAAACAGACATTAACGATATGGTGCCTTTAAAAAAAAAAACAACAAACACCTGAGAGAACAATTAATTATTAGAGTCAGCTACCATGGAAGATGTAGATTCACCCTCTTTTATTCTCTCCAGCTTCACACAGGATGTCTTTCTGTAAAACAGCTTTAGCCAGACAGATACTGGTTTCAAGGCTGGACTGCAAGGGTGAATTTTGTGACCTGCATGATGTGGTTCAGCAAGGAGATATGGTGTGAGACAATGAGACTCAGGGGATGTAGAGGGAGCCCTCGTCACACAGTAGCTTTAGGAGTATGGGACTCTTGAGCAAATACGTGCCTGTCCAGCTTTTGTACACTGCAGCCTGATCAATTGAGGGCTGTAATCCAGATCCACACTGTCTCCCAGTTAAAGGGGAATTCAGTGTCTGTAGTCACCGAACATCTCCAGGACAGGACCAGGCAGCTTCAACCCCACAGCTTTTGGTGGCATTTGAAATTGGGACCAGGGTTTCCCTGTTTGCTGTACCTGACCAACACTACCGAGGTGCATGCAGGTGTGGTCCACATTCCCTTTTCTGAACTTATGGCACTGGAGTTGGTTTGCTAATGAAGAAGGGCTTTTTTTACTTCTAGAAACCAGCAGCTAGCCCATCCCTGTCTGGTTCCACTCTCTACTACAGGGCCAGAGCACAGTTGGGGCTGCAGCAGCAGTAAGCCTCATTTCTCCCTGCTTTCAAACTTAAGTCCTGCTCTGTGGACAGAAAGGAGCTTTGAGAATGTTGCATGACACAAACAGAGCAGTCTCAGGCGGTAGGCTCTAGTTTTTTCCCAAATAACCACATGAGCCTTGACTCCCTGATTGCAAGGCTGGCTGGGCCAGGGCTGTACCTGAGTTGGCAAGGGCCAGAGCTTTGAGTGTGACAAACTCCTCCTTTTCCACCTTGAGCTTCTTATAGCGGCGCACCAGTTGAAGAATGGCCAGGTAGAGCTCCAGCAGCCCTGTCAGACGAGAGTGCTCTTCATCCATTATGTAGTCCTCAGCATAGACCAGCTTGTCCTCATATGGCAGGGAGCGGTACACAATGCCCAGGATGAGAATTTCCATCCAGGCACTCTGAAGAAGGCTCATCTGGTCCCCGAGGGAGAGGTTGGAGAACCCTGACAGGGCAAAAGACAAGCAGGGTCAAATGGCTGAGCAGCAAAGCCTCTAGGAGCCTAAGGTCCTTAGTGTCCCGAGATTCAAACCAAGCACTCTTCCCTACTGGCCTGCTGCTGTCAAGAAAAACAAAAAAAGCTCACTAAAGTGACCCTATCTCTGTAGCAATCAGCACACATGGACCTTATGCTTCTCTTTGCTCCCATGCCCACCCACAGTCTCAAACAGGAGTTCTGATGCTCTGATTGCATTTATGACAGCCCAAAGTTAATGATAACCTTGTTTCAATGATCACTGCTTTTTTTTATAGCCGCAGCTGTTCTGTACCATATTGTCCTGCTCCCTGTTCCTCTTGTAGGTTTGTACTGCAGCTAGGACCAAAGAGTAGAGAAGATCTGATGTGATAGACGGGAATGACACAGGCCTGAATTGCAAGTAAACTACAATCTCAGACTTTGGCCAACATGAGAAAAGGTCCAGTCACAACAAAGCACCGAAATGTGTTCAAAAGCTGAATATATTTGTAAACAGAATCCTTGTCTATTCCTCATCACATCCTGATCTCCACACTATCAGCTCTGCCAACAACCCTACCCAGTGACAAAAATAGCTTTATGGTGCCTTACAAGCACCTAAATCACAGCCAAACCTGGTAGCAGTAGAACCAGCACCTAGGAATGAACCAAATATTCTCGTCAAATACGGAAAGAGCAATCACCATCTGGAGATAGACCCTGACATCCCCAGAGTCTACTTGAGAAAGCAGAGGACAAAACATAGAGGCACTCTCCACCTCAAGGGGGAAAAAAAAGAAAGTGCATGGGAAGGAAAACTGTGTCTGTTATGCCCTCCATACCAGCTACCCTTGAAGGCCAAATGATGAAAGATCCTGGGAGGTGGGCACTATAACAGCCATTACAAACAAAAATGTCATGCACCATGTGTTGGTCCCCTCTAGGCAGATTTGCCCATCACAAACAGGCAGAAACTGACTTTTTTGACAGCTTCTTCCTTCTAAAGGTTCCTAGGGCTGTGAGAGAATGGGACACCTAGGCACCTCAGCTAGGAGAGCAATGCTCCACCACTCTCCCCTGTCAGTTTTCTCCCCAGATGCATATTAAGCCTCAGGTATCTCCAAGAGCTCATGAGCCTCTGTGCAGAAGCCTCCCAGCCCACTGGCTGCATTCAAGGGTCAGCTGGACTCCTTTATCCCACAGCCCCCTCTGCTCACAGTTCTTGGCCCCACATCAGGGCCTACGTAGCCAGTCACCATGATAATCATTTGATTTCTCTTGTTATCAAGTTGGCAATTAACAAAAGAGCTGATGATTGCTATATTGACTGACTGTGGGATCTCTTTTTCTATCTGCACTATCTCAGCTGGGGATAGGAAGGCAGAAGGGTGGGTTAGTGGTATTTATTTATCTCTACGCCATGTTTTGTATTTGTGTTGCCAGGGGAAGCAAAGGGTGATAATGGCCTGGCAGCCCTTGGACATCCAATTTCCCTTATCAGGCCACTGAATAGAAAAGAGGCCCCAGGCCACATTAATTAACAGATACCAATCAGCTGTCACGTGCTGTGAGTGCAAGGTCTGAGGGGAGCAGTGGGTGGGAGGGAAGAATCAATAAACCATTGGGGAGGAGTGTCAGAGGGAACAGCTAAAGAGGAGTCCACGCTACTAGGGAGAAGAGCTGCAAATCCAGCTCCATGACTGTGAGACTGATTCCTGTACTCCATGTAACCCTAAATCCTGGTTAATCCTACCTCTTGCTCAGGCAAGGTAGGTTAATCCTACCTCTGCTCCAGCTCAGAATTGTGCTGCTCTGGAATGCAGCCCTCCTGACTCAGTCCAAGTGTAGGGTGATGCAACTCAAAGGCTTGGGATCATGTCTCCCCAGTTCTGCCTGCTAGACAGGGAACTGATGAGATTAGCCTTGAGACAGAGGCAATGATGCTGTCTGTGCACAGCCACTGCTGCAGTCTTTAGAACCTGAATTCCATCCTTTGGTCACCCCTCTCTCCTGGCTCTGACCATGGAGATCAGTCCAGCATTTCGGCTGCTGCCTTAAGTCCATTTTCTGGGTCAGTCATGTGGCCTTTCTGCATCTTCATTCCCTGTTTGGATTACAAAAGGGGTTACACCATCACCTCACTGCAGCCTGCCAACAAAATTTGTTAAAGATTGAGAAACTGCCATGTAGTAGAGCAAGAGGATCCAGGACAGGCATGGCTCATATTTTTCTGCTACACAATAAAGTAGAAAAAATTACTTAACCCTAGCAGTAACCTGTACATTCAGCATCCCGGTTAATCACCCTTTTCCAGAGGCTGTTACGATAGGTGACAACAGGAGAGAACATGACCTGTGCCAAGAAGAACAGGAGAGCCAGCTGCAATTGCCTCACCCACCTGGGAAAGCCCCTGGCCAGAAGCATTCCCAGGTAGCCAAGGACTTCAGCTCCAGCAGAGGGTATGAAGAGGGAGTGCTGTGGTGTCAAGCCTGGACTTGAGACATTTGACAGAATCGGGACCCTTTGCCTCCAGTATTGACACATGTGGAATGCAAGGGCTAAAGGACTATGCCTGAATCACTGCAGTAAAGAGAAAATCATATAACTCTCGCGTGTTATCAAAGCTGAGATCAGAAAAAGTAAATGCTAATTTTACTTGGCCAAAATCATAGGCTTGCTATTACAGGATTATAACACCAGGGAATCTCTAGTTGTGAAATTTAACTGCCTGGTTGTCTTAAGCCCCCATGAATTGTGAGAATCCAACCCTTTTGCATTCCTGAGCTGCTGATGGCCCAGCATCCAGCAAATACCCTTGGTGATCTGTTTCTTGCTGCTTTTCTCAAGTCTGATCCTGAAAGGTGCTGCTTAATGCACCACTGCCATCCCTAGGTTCCCAAAAAAGAAGCCCCTGGCTCTAGCACAGAGCTGCATGCATGTTTCCCTCCTTTCCAGGTGCAGCTTGAGAAAAGCTGCTTTATTTGCAGTAGCTGATGTGACATTCAGGTTTTTTATATTTTTTTTTTTTGGTTATTTCTTTTTTATTTCAGTGGTTTGGCAGTGGGAGCTCCCAAATTAAAAAAAAAAAAAAGTCACATAATTTGTGGCAAGTGAAGTTCATAATCTGTTAATTTATTATCATTTCTGTCATCCTGGAGGGCCATTAGCAGAGGTAATAAAAGGAGATGTAATTATAGGATCTGAGGCCACTCCAGACACAGCTGCTGTCACTCCACTTGCCATATTTCATTCTGTGCTAGTACTATCGTCTTCCTAGTGAGAATAGTACAACAGCTACCCTGGGAGAGCCTTCATTGTCACCCCTCAAGAGAAGTCTTGTCACCCTGCATCAAAGCAAGAGAAAAGGTGGATGTTTTTCAAAGACAATTAGCACGGGGGGAGAATGACTAGTGGGGAGGGGGCCTCGTACAGAAGGGCACAACTCCACATTGGCTAAGTGTGGCTTTTGAGCTAATAGCTAATAAGACTGTTGAGCTAATAAAATTTTCTAAATACCATTAAATCATGCTTTATTATTATTATCATAGGAGAGTGTGTTTAAGCTTTACTGATTTTGTTTGCTAAGACTGTAGGGCAGAGGTTTGTGTTGATACTTGGGATCCTAAAGGGTTCGTATGACTTTAACGTCACACCATTCTTTACTAATTCCAGTGTGAATACAAGGCAGGAATATGTAACTTTTTCTCCTTTTTCCATCCTTCTCTGACCAAGATTTCCTGCACACAGGAAGCAATGTCACTTTTTGTTCAAAATCCTTGGAAGGCAGAACTACAGAGCATGGTTAATTTAGACATGTGGCAGTCTCCTGGCCCTGCCCTGCTCTGCCCCCTTGCTGCCTAACTCAGTATGTTTCATACTTGTTCCAGAACTACAGATTATTTTGTTCCATTTTTATGAATTGTCTTTTATTATGTTTTTTCTCAGTACTGCTCTCTTGTTTAACAATCCCTGAGCTCTCTCACGTGCACACAGTCCTGTTGTACAATACTGCTGCTGGTCTGAACTGTGCCAGGCCGTGGCTGTTACTGCGTTGCAGGAGAGAAAAATACACAGAGAAATCTGAGATGATAGCAGGTATGTCCTGCTTTCAGAAAGGAGAGGAAGAGCCCCTTTCACAGTGCGGGAGCAATCTCTACTATACTCCTGTTCTGGGATAATATAACCAGGCTGGAAAACTCAGTAGGAACTCAGAGCTGAGCATCCCATGCTCATCTCACTGCCACAAGCTGGGGAACTACAGCAGGGCCCTCTGTGCTAACAAAAATAGCCAAGGTTAGACGAATGTACAATGGCACCTCAATGGAAAGCCGTAGCAGCTAATTGCATTGCCTTAAAGCCACTCCTGTTAACACCCCAAGTATTGGGTTAGTAGAGCAATCCAGGCTGAGTTCCCTAATCACCACTGTAACTCCACTTGTGATGAATCAGCCCCAGATGGATTCCAGCACTAGTGATGGGTGTAATCCCTGCAGATACTGCAGATCTCTTGTAAGAAGGGCACCACCAAGATTAACCTCTACTCAGAAACACTGTCCTGAAAAAGTTTCTCCAGACTTCACAGTCCCACCTCATAACAATCCATATTCCATATAGCTCAGAAAACCACTAACTCTTGAATCACTTGAGAAATACTCCCTCTGGAAAAAGAGAAGCAGCTACCAAAAAGCCAAAAGAGGAGCTACAGAAAGAAGCAAAATACATGGGAGAACTAAACTCTGATCACTCTTGTTAAGATGCCTCACTAAACACTGAAGAACTTAAAGCCAAGAAGCAAAGAAAGAGAACACAGATCCATGCAGTGGAAGACAGAGACAACACACAATAAATCCTGTGGTCCTGTAGTAGAGCCTTGGATATTCTTCTGACACAAGGAAGAGGGACAGAAGGCAAGCACATAGCTGAAGTAAGCTGTTTATAGCTGTAGTGCGCTGTTCATAGTGAATGTCTGAAGCAATCTTTGGAAAGCAGCCATGTAAACCCCAAGGATATCCCCTGACTTCCCTGGCCAGCCTTCTCTACACACAGATCCAACCTATCTGTTTTTGGAGTGACTGGAGAGAGACTAGAAAGAGAGGGGGCATTTCCCCTTCCCAGTCCAAATCTTTGCCCTCAGAACTTCCTTGATGGCTATGTATGCTCCTTCAGCCTGGGTCCACCCTACCTGCAGGTGTGAGACACTTGTTATGCCACCCAATCACACAGACATGCATTGAATATAGTCACAAGGCCAGTCATGCTGCCAATAAGTTGTCCTCACTATTTGTCAACATAGAAGCCTGGAGATTCACTGACAATAGCATGTTGTCTATCACAATGGGACTTGTTCTGTGATGAATCCATTATGACAAAAGCTTTCCTGAGTCTGGGCAAGAATGACCCTGAAATTAGCTAAGTTGGTTAGAGTCTGGTGCTTGTAATGCCAAGGTTATGGGTTTGATCCCTGTATGGGCTATTCACTTATGAGCTGGACTTGATGATCCCTGTGGGTCTCTTCCAACTCAGAATATTCTGTGACTCTGTAACATCCACTACAGACATGGTGTGTACCTCCCTTTTAAATAGCAGTAAAGTCCAGGCACTGCCATAACATTTATTCATCTATAAACACAACAGACCTAGGTCATGTTGATGTAGTACAAGATCACAAAAGTCCACTGTACCATCCCAAAGGCTGTTTCCCAAGTACTTTCACTGGGCCACTCAATGCCAAATACAACAGAGAACTTCACTGTATCATATCAAAGCCTTCTGCATAATCCCAGGGCACGTACATACAGAGTCATCGATTTATGCACCTACATCATAGGCTGCATTGGAGTTTGTTACCAATGAGAGCCCACCACAAGCAGTTTTCTGTGACAGAACTTTCCATGCATCACTACATGAAAAAATCCTAGCTGAAGACAAAACCGATAAGTGCAGAGATAAATAATAGCTCCCTTTGCTGTTCATGTTACACCCTTGTAATCCCGTTTACCTGGGATGTGCTTTGCCCAGCCAATGATCACCACCAGTTCCCTGTCTGCCAGGTCACAGAGGGTTGTCAGGGCTTTGATGTCGCTCTCCGGCATGGTTGGATCAGGCATGGCATAAATCTTCTCTGGCTCAGCCACCAGCAAGTGGGAGACGATCTTAGTCACTGCACATTTCAAAGGAAAAGTTGTTGTTATGTTTCTCATGATAAAAGGTGGACCCTCCTGGGATAAGACATGACTACAGAACCCATAGGACCTCAGTAATGGTTTTGGTGACAACAGGAGAAGACTACACTGCAGCTACACAAGCTGTAGTGATCTGCCTGTGTCAAACCAGCTCTGCACTGGGATGACAAAAGCAGGAAGCTGCTGTAATGTTGTCAGCCATTGTCTCAACAGGGTCCAACAAGGGGAGAAGGAGACACAAAGGAGTTGGTAGGATGTGAAAAAGTTTAAAGAACTATGGGTAGTATTAAAAAGAGAAATCAGCATTGGATTGGTTTTGTTAACATAGCTCAGACTATGACTAAATGGATTTACATAATCTCCTAGGAAAGGTCTTGTATTTAACCCTAGGTACAAAAAATAACAGTACCTGAGCTGTACCTTAGGCCCACCTAATCTACCTCTACACTATGATCGTAAGAAAAAAATCCTAGTGCTGTTGACTGACACAGGAATTTGAAGTGACAACTGCTATTCTGTACATTTTGGGAGATCAATGAAAAGAAATATAGTGGCTGCTCAGAGGGCAAAAATTCAAGGCTAATACATACGTGGTTTTTTAGCTGGGGGAGGGATCTGTAAGCTCAGGTAAGTGCTGCTCTCAGAATCCAGTCTCCTCTTGTATTTCTGTCGGCCTCCACGGACTCGATCCAGACGAACACCTGCAGGTAAAACAAAAGAAATCCTCATGATTCCTTAGTGCCTTAGGGAACCTTGACGTTCACATGCTTAAATTTGCTAAGTAAGATGTTCCCCATACTCCAGGGAGCTTCCCTCTCTCAAACACTTGAGATCTCAGCTGAACCCAGCAATCTTAATACCAACTAGACTGCCTCCAGCTCTAAGCATGCTGCTGTGAGCTTTACTTTTATTCAAAACATTAATGAAGACAGAAATTAACCCATTCAAACTCTTGAATCACCATCAGTCTAATGGGCAAATGAAAAGCTTCAGAACTCAATGCCCTCTAGATGATCTTGCTTTTAAAAAGAAAGACTTTAAATGTCAATCAAACCTGCAGTTATAAAACTAAGCTTTTAGATTGTTCTTAAAAATGAAAAGTTAAATGTTCTGTGACCTCTCACTGTTTATATTTGAAAAAAGTGGCCTATAGTGAACAGATAATGAACTATGAATTCAACAAAAATGTTTCAGCCTTGATCAAGTAAGGCACCTGTAATAAGAGTAGAATCCAAATAAACAGAAACAACTTCTACTACAATAAAGCCATGATAAAGATGAAGTAGGGAGACACCGAAGAATTTGTTGCAGCTCTTTCAAAATACAGTGAATCAAACTGGGAACTGCACATTGAAAATAGTCCCCAGCGACTAGGAAGTACCAGTGACTGTCACCTTGCAAAAAACCATAGCAGCATCAATAGACCAGGAACAGCAACTAAATTGTGCTATTAGTACAAAATACAATGTTAAAAAGAAACTGTGAAAAAAACCCATAGATATTTGTCCAGTTATCAGTTATTTCTGACCAGCCATATGGTGTCTGGTAATCAGTTCTTGTGAAATTGGGATAACTTAGTCTTCTGGGAAAAGTAGCTTTTGCGGAAAAAAAAATTTTTCAAGACAAATGTAGAAGCATTCGAATAGAATAAAAAATTTTGAATTTACACTATACAAGTACTTCCTTAGAAACACACAGTAGTTTATCTAGTCTGATCACAGGAACCAATTATGTGAGACACTTACTAATAATATTGAGCTATTAATATTTTGCAATCATACCATACAAAAACACAAACAACTAAAAACAAACACTCCACATCAGGTTTGAAGTGATGCTTTTTGAACAACTTGTACACCTGAAAAAACCTGCAGTCTTCTGGTGAATAGTCTACCCTAGAAAGAGTCATATGTCTGTCACTCCATGTTTCAATGCCATGTTTACTTACTATGCCATAGAAAGGAGAAAGCTTTTGCTATATAGCTAACACCTGTACCACCTGAAACTGCTACTTGCAACAACATCTAGATCCCAATATGCTTTGTGGCGACAGCACCCAAACTGATTTGATTGACAGACAGTAACAACTGCCCCCTAAGCAGCAAGAACACCAGGCCAACAATACTCAGTGATACAGTCTGGCAGCAACATCTCCTACTGAGCAGGAGAAACAGAAATGAGCAGGTGTGGAGCTCTGCAGAGCAAGGGAACTGCCGTTGCAGGTGGCTGCTGTGGGAGGACCAAGGATATTGAAGATGGAAAGGAAGGCATGAAGCTGATAAAAGTGAGCTCAGATCACACTGAGTAATTTCCTTCCTCTTTCCCATTTTCTATTTCTGACTCTGTATGAAGAATTCACTGACATCCCTAAGCATAAGTCCACCTTTCTCCTCCATTACGTGGTATTGTTTCTGAAAATTATGCCTATTTCTTCTTTTACCTCCATTCACAGCAGCAGGTAGGCTGTAGGCAAGACTCCTTCCTGGATGCCCCAACATGCTCCAGAGACCAATTTCAGGAAGGACAGCCAGGGAATCCCAAACCCGAGGTTATCTAGGGAGATCCCTGAGGAACGACACTGATAAAGTCCTGGATGAAGTAGGAAATTTTCATTTCCATCCATGATTTCTTTCCCTCTATAAATGGGCCCTGTTTTCCTAAGAAAGAAGACCTCTATTCCATGCTCTGCTGAATGTGTGACATCTACCTCTAAGCCAGGAAAGATGGGAGAGACATAAGTTTCAGGAGCTGCCAGTAAACCAAGCAACCAGGTATGAAAATGAAAAGGATCAGGAATACACTGTTGAAAGATTACAGAGGAATCCAGAACAGGCTGCAAGACTTCAGGACTGAATCAGAGCTTCCCAGGATCCTCCCAGACAAAGGATGCATTCCTTAACATCAGTGGTCAGGATGTCATCCGTGCAGGGAGGTGCCATTCTCAGCCCAGCAGAAACCAACACACTGCCTTCCACGATGCTTTCACTGTGCAGTTTGATAAGCAAAAGGGAGGGGGAACTGGGAGGAGTAGGGATGAAACGGGGGAAGGAGCTTGTTTCTTCCTCCCAAGGAGAAGCATGCCTCCAGTGCTTGGCAGAGGGATGGCTGCACAGGTTGCAGCAGTACTAGGGACCCTCAATCAGATTATAAGGACACAAAGGACTTAAGTGTATTAAAGAAAGATAAGAAAGATGCAGAGAGATTTACCCTCCATCCCTCCTTCCCTCACTGAGCAGATAGAGGTCTGTTTGCCCAAGGACTTCAGCTTGTTAATTTTGAACAACTGTTTGTCCTCCTCTTGTTCCCCTTTCCTGTGCAACACTCCTTGAGGCAAACATTTTCAATCAGCACTCACAGAGCCACTGTTCTACCCTGTCATCATCACTCCAGCCACAGAGCTGGTGAACAGACTGACCCCCATGGTAGCACATCCCTGCACCAGCTGCTGAGTGCAGTGTCCTGCAGGTGCTACAGTAAACAAAAGCATTTAATCCCTCGAGTCCCTGACTGTGACACTCTAGACATAACCATCATGGTAAAATCCCTTTCCCAAAGATCTGACAGCCTAATGGGTCATATCTAGATGGAAGGAAAGGGCATGGCCCAAAATCAGAACCTGTGGTACTTAGATACTTAATGTCTGCCGCTCTACTTTGATTTTCTCTGTGGTTGATTTTAAGATAGGTAGGCTGATTATGATGCAGCTCTGCAAGGGACACTAAAGGACATTAAAATGAAGTGGCGAGGTGTGGTGGGTTAGATCAGAGAAGCAGCATGAAGCAAAGCACTGAGCAGAGAAGAAATGGATGGGGATGTAGACTGGGATATGAATGGAAGTGGGAGAGTGTAAGGAGAAGGGAGATGAAAGAGAGAGGGCTAGAGCAAAGCTGAGTGATACATACACTGGAATCACAAGGGTAGGTTTCACACCTGAACATTACGTGCAGCCACCTGAACATTAACTGCAAGGTGCAGCAGCAACTTATGAGATGCAGCTGGTCCATACTGAAGACCTTTTGGTACAAATTGGTGCTGCAACCTCACAAGACAGCAGCAAAAGAAAGCCGTTGCCTTCCAGCTCCTGCACAAACCCTGTTGTCACAGAGATCACAACTGGCCTGTTCAAAGGAGACAAGTGACTCACCCTACAAAACTGTCACCACCATAGGCACTCCTGGACCCCCCTTTTTGACATTATCAGCAAGAAGGTGAGATGCAACAGCAGAGGGCAAAGTTTGGAAAATACCACCCCTTGATAACTTATCTTCCACTCCCATGTATTGTAAGAAAACGCTGCTGTTCATTGAATTTTGTTACCTTTGGAGGGACCCTGAATAAGAGTCCTGGCACCCCAATTGACCTACATATAGAGCTGACTGTGGTGTATGCCATAGGGATTGAGTCCCAGCTCAACGGCAGCTCACTCTCAGCTTCCCTGCCTGCCAGAGCCGCTCTGACCTAGCAGGGAGAAATGCAGAGGCAGGACTTGCACAGGACTTCTCGATTCAGCATCCTGCCTAGGGCAGGGATGTCAGTTTTCTAACTGTCCTGTGGGTGCCACTCGTGTTCCAAGTGCTTGCAGAGAGGTCTGTGCCAGCACCAAGCCTCTGCAGTGAAAGAGCTGATCTGCTGATCTGTTCCAGCTCCCTGCATTTCTCTGACATGCCCCTTGGAGAGACGTCTGCCTGACAACTTTGGGATCAGATGTCCCCTTACTGACTTGATAACATCAGGCTTTAGGGTTTTTTTCTTAATGGAAGTAAAATAATTCCAGCTTTTTTTAAAAGCTGGACTCAGGCCGAGACTGTCGGAAGTAAAAATAGCCGAGTATGCAGAGGTGACAGCACACAGAGTCAGGTTTAGTTTCTCTTTTATTTTCTGGGAACTAAAAATACTCTTAAAAGCTCCATGAAGCTAAGCCCTGGCCAGTGGGAAATGCAGTCTAGGCCCAATATCAGCTGTCGCATCAAATTACTAGCCTCACCTTACCTTCCATCCAGTCCTATCACATGCCCATGAATTGACAGGAACAGAAAGCTCTACCTTGCCAAAGAGCTAACAGAGGAGCCAAGCTACAGGGTTTGCATGGCACAATATGAGTCTAGCCCAAGAAGGACACAACCAAAGGGAACACAGGGCAAGTGCTGGCCCTGAAGCAATGGCAAAAGGGCTGCTTTTGCTGAGTTTCCCTGATAGATCAGCCAGGTCCTGTACCCACTGTCCACCTAATCCTTGAGCTGCAGTTTCCACACCAATACAGCCTGCTTGCTCTCCCAGGGTCTGAGCTGGGGTGGTGCTCTGTAGCTAACACATGCACCTGTCCCCAAGAGCTGCATCCTGAAGTTCATGGATTGGCACTGACCAAAGAAGCTAGAAGGTATAGGCTAAGACTAGAGAAGAAAGGCAGTGAGAAGGGTTGTGCCCAAGGTGTTTTCCCCAGAATTTCCCTCTTCCTTTCTGCTCTGAACTTCAGGAGAGACAGCAGGATGTGGCTTTTGGATGAGTGAACCAGGAGGAAGCTTATCAAGGAAACAGAGAGCAGTGATGATCATAAAAGTCAGACTTGCCAAGATAGGGAAGAAACAGACTATAGGAAAAGGTATCTCTTCCTAAGAGGAATGGAGAGGCTGCAACCTGACTAGGCTCTCTTTTGTTACTCAGATTCCAGCTTGGGAAGGGGAAAAGACTCCTATTAGGCTTT